AGGAAAAGACTGTGGGAACAACACTGACTCAACCACAAACCAAAGAATGAACTTGATGACCTAGTAGGGCTTTTCCATTTCTAATTTCTTGATCCTTATATTTATAAATTTTCTTGCTTAAGCTTTTCTTTCAGTGGTATTTCCAAAACCTCCTGTAAAAAAGGTCAAGTTGGAAATAGCTTATTCACTGATAATAGGAGGAAAAGTAAATATTTGTTTCACTTTGCTAAGCAGAGACAGTAAATATTCTCTCCCTCATTATTCAACAAATATTGTTTGAGTGCTTACTATGTGCCAGGCTCTGTTCTAAGAGCTGAAAGGTTAGCATCCTAACTCCTAACAAACCTAGGTTTTAATCTTGGTTCAATATAACAATAATAACAACAGTAATGTATACAAAGCTGATTTTCTGATCCACAAATGAAAAATCAGTATTACATAAAACAGGGCCGTGTGCTATGTGAGAGGAAGACTCTTGAGTTCTTACTGAGTGACAAACTAATTCCAACTGTGATGCTATCAGCCCCATTTCCTCATTTTGCAATGAGAAAATGCATCTTGTAGCAGTACTCTTTGAGTCTACTGGGGGGTTGGAGAGGTGGAGAAACTAGTCAATTGGCCCAGCTCTAATGTTCCTATAATGGTGAATTCCATGTACCTACTCTAATGTTTCTCCGTGTTATTTGTAGATATCAAGAATTCCAGGGCCTGGAATAAAGCTCATCACCAGCTAGGGAAAAAAGGACATGATTTTCCCAGAACCTGCTCAGGGTGTAATAGTGAAGTACTCCGCAACTTCTGTGGGATGGAAATTGGACTAGATACCTGTAATTGAAGGTGAGTAAAGCAGAGGTCAGTGTCCTCAACTTGCAATTTAGAGGAGGGGGTAGATATAAATCTAGTTAATTATGATGCAATAAAGTTCTATACTTATATTTTGAACAAAGTTAGAGAGTTGCTCAGATTTATTTGATCATGGCAAAGAAATAAAGTTATAATCTATCTAATTAATATTGACAGAGATCATTAAATATATTAAAAGTATAGAAAAATACTTGATTAAAATAGAAAACTTAGGCCCTGCAAAAGAAAAGTTCAAGAGAATGAGAAGACAAGCCACAGACTGGGAGAAAACATTTGCAAAATTTTTTTGCAGATAAAGATAAAGAGCCATTCTCTAAAATTCACAAGAACTAAAACTCAACAGTAAGAAAACAAAGAACCCAATTAAAAAATAGACCAAAGAACTTAGCCAACACTTCACCAAAGAAGATATACAGTGGCAAATATGCTCTGTCATGAAAAGATGGTCTGTCTCACATGTCTTCAAGGAAGTGCGAGTTAGAACAACACTGAGATACACCTACTAGAATGGCCACCTACTACACACTTATTAGAATGGCCAAAATCTGGAAAACTGACATCACCAAATGCTGACAAGGATGTGGAACAACAGGAACTCTCTCATTCCTTGCTGGTGAAAATGCAAAATGTTGCAGCAACTTCGGAAGACAATTTGGCAGTTTCTTATAAAACGAAACATACCCTTATCGTATGATCTAGCAATCATGTTCCTTGGTATTTACCCAAAGGAGTTGAAAACTTACATCCATACAAAAACCTGCACATGGATGTTTATAACAGTTTTATTCATTGTTTATGGATATTTGGCAATTTTTAATTGCCAAACTCGGAAGCAATCAAGATGTCCTTCAGTAGGAAGGTGAATAGATAAACTGGGGTACAGACAATGGAATATTACTGAACACTAAAAAGAAGTGAGCTATCAAGCCATGAAAAGACACAGCGGAAACTTAAATGCATATTACTAAGTTAAAGAAGCCAGTCCCAAAAGGCCACATACTGCATGACCCCAATCTATGACATTCTGGGAAAGGCAAAACTATGGAAACAGTAAAAGAGATCAGCGGTTGCCAGGGGTTGGGGGATGGGGAGGGATGAATAGGTGACACACAGAGGATTTTTTAGGGCAGTGAAAATTCTCTGCATGATATAATGATGGATATACAGTCATTATACATTTATCCATATTCATAGAATACGCAAGAACAAGAGTGAGCCATATGTAAACTATGGGCTTTGGGTGGTTAAGATGTTTCAATGTAGTTTCATCAATCCTAAGTAATGCACCACTCTTTTGTTACACTTTAGAGGATACTGAGAATAATGAAGGCTCTGCATGGGTAGAAAAAAGGGATACATGAGAAATCTTGATCTCCCACTCGATTCTGCTGTGAACCTTACACTGCCCTAATACAAGTCTTATTTTTAAAAAAGTATGGTGGGGGGGTGGCGCCTGGGTGGCTTAGTTGGTTAAGCATCCAACTTAAGCTCAGGTCATGATCTCGTGGTCCATGAGTCTGAGCCCCACGTCGGGCTCTGCGCTGACAGCTCAGAGCCTGGAGTGTCTTTCAGATTCTGTCTCCTTCTCTCTCTGCCCCTAACTCACTCATGTTCTGTCTCGCTCTCTCTCAAAAATAAATAAGACATTAAAAAAAAGTAAATAAAAAAATAAGTGTGGGAAAGGTAAATAGCAAAGCAACAACAAATTATAAATGAATATTTTTCTGTAAGAAATGACACAATCTTATTTATATATTTAAGACACAGTAAACATTGGGTATCAAAATATTGTCAAATTATGACAAGATACACAACATTGACCAGTCAGCCTCAAACAGAAAACACACCACACACACACACACACACACACAGACACACTCCTGCTTACTTAGTTATTGCTTAGCTAGTTATTATTAGTTAATTATTGTCAGTATGAGGATGCATTGATAAAATGTCCATGTATCAACTGGATTTCATTAAACTTAAGTCTTAAAATGAGGGATTTCACAATTAGGGAGACTACGTAGTATGTGACTACTTTTGAAATTATATTTCTACCTCAAACCTATTTTGGAAGAAAACATACTACAAGCATTGGTTTAGTATTTTTGTGGAGCACCTAATTGCATCTCCTATAATAGGATGTCTTTTGCCTTGTAGACAGGAAGAGGGAGGGTGTTACAGACTGAAAAATCAAGATGAGCCAGTACATGGACATGAGTGTGGGAAACAGCACTAGCTAGAGGCAAAGAAACATGGAGGGAAAGGCAGGCAGGTAGGGGTCGGTTTACGAAAAGATCTGCTTTGCTGTTGATTCCCTGTGTTATCTCTGGTAAAATTAAAAGTTTATCACATTTTAGCTGTTTATATTTTCCTACTTTTCTCATAACTTGCCATATTTTATTCCCATTGAGTCATTTGTACATACGACATGTAGTAAAAGAAAAAAAAAAACCAACTTCATTTAGGCCCTTATTTTGTACTAGACAATGTGCTAAACAGTTTACATACAAGGTTACATTAGTTTTCATGAACATTTTGCAGAAGCAGTGTTATTAAAGTAGTTTTATATTGAGAAAACTGAGGTTGAATCTGCATGTGAATTTTACCTATCTGGTGCAGAGTTCATTTTACTTTAATAATTAGTCTTTCTAATGGCATTTCCCCAAGTAGTATATTCTTCAGAAGATATAGAATAAGAAAAAAATCATCCTACGGTCAAATCAGTATGAGGACCATAGTGGATCACATCTCCCTCTTGAAGATGCACAGTGTGCTTAGGATATTAAAGTCCCTGTGAAGCTCTAAAATAAAGAAATTCATTTCATGTTATCTGAGGTCTCCACAAACTTTGGCTGACTGTTAGATAATTCTTTTGTGTGTGCATGTGTGTAAAACATTTAACATTTCAGGACATACTTTAGGAAACGTCTTAGGGTATATTGGGAGAATCTTATTAAACTGAACTCAACTCATTTAGAATCCAAGAAATATAAAACTTGTTCTAAGTTTTCAAATCACAGTTTGTCAGAATGAGGGTCATGATTCACTAGGTTGTGAAAACAAAGGAGTGGCTCCTGACCAGTATTGGAAGGGAGGACCCAGAAAACAAATAGGATAGAAAATATCAGAATTGTTGCATGTTGCATATACTGAATCATACTGGGTCAGAGCATAAAATACATTTCTCTCTGTGGTCATGGCTGAAAATGTCTGAAGCCACTGTTTTCATGAGAGTCACATGAATCGCTTGTTGTGCCAGAAGTTACTGTGATGACAAATGTCAGAATTTTGTAAAATCCAACACAAAAAGGACTACTGTAGCACCACGGCAAAATATAGTATTTGTCATTACTTAAAATTAGAGAATTTTAGAGCTCAAATATCTCATGGGGGAAAACCAAAATAGTTTGGTGACTTGTCAAGGTCAAACAAACCTACCTGGGCCTAGAACCCAGGTTTTCTGACTTGCACTCTGGTATTCTATTGTCAGTGTATATTGACATGATTTTTATTTATAGAACATGAGGATTATTTCTTTTTCATGAATAAGAAAACTTGGTATAAAATTCAGCAAGTCACTCCTGGATAGTAAGTCAATGACAGGTTACAAACATGCAGAAGGCTTTAATTGAAAGGAAAAAGTAACCTAGTATATACTTCATTGCTGGGGTCTAATTATAATGCCACCCAATAAGTAATTAACCTAATACCCTCTTGGCGGTGTTTAGGTTATGCGGCTACTTAGTTACCTGGTTTCTCATTGGTTACGTGTAAGTGTCCCACATGTATGATTTTGAGAAAACTTAGCAGATACCATATGAGTGAACACAAAATCTTGCCATGTGTAAGCTAAAGATGCTTCGAGTAATGAATCAAACTATAAGAAAGCTCCAAACTCTGCACCATTAGCAAAATAAACCTTAGGTTCTACATACTTTATCTTAGGTAGGCCTTTTCAAGACTCTTGCCAGCTTAAGTCTTGAAGATTATGCCTACAGTTTGTGCGTAATCACCGCCCCCCCCCACCCCCCTCCCGGTCTGTTCTAGGGAGGGGGTATCAGAAACTGGTCAGAGGAGGAAAATAGTTTCTATTCCAGCCCTCTGTTCCCTGGAAGGCGCCCACAGGGGTCTACCTCAGGAAGTGAGCCTGGGCTTGGATTCCAGCAAAGTGTCTTCACATCTTCAAGGGCTCTGGAGCCCAGGTTGCTGTCTTCTCCTCCCAGGAAGCTCCGGCCACACTGGGCAGAAATCATTTGATAACTTAATCTTGCTGAGAGGCAGAGACACTGAGGCCTGTGTACTCTAGTGATAAACGGAAGCATCCGGGTGAGTCAAGGCAGAGACATGATATCTTTCAAAAGTAATAGAAACGAGTAAAGCATAACCAAGAACTGAAAGGGGGACGTTGGGACCACCCCCCCAAAACGTGGTAGGCGTCTGGAGGGCAGATGACTGCGTCGTCGAGCCCTGGAGGTTCTGGGGGTCCTCTCCGGGGAGGCCTTCCCTGGCTGGGAGAACACTGGAGGTTGGAGGAGGTGAGTTGCCTAAAGCCCAGGAGCGGCCTTGGACCCTCCCCCTTCCTATAATTAACTCAACGCCTGTCCCGCCAGTAGGGACCCGTGGCTTCCCTGGACCGCCCCCCCCCGCCCCCCCCCCAGCCCACCGCGCTGGGGGAGGAGAGGAGCTCGCGGAGGGCGGGCGGTCGACCACAGGCTACCCGGGCCCCTACCTAGGCGGTGTGGCACCCTGACCCCGCCAGGGGCCGGCCGCCTGCGCCATCCTCCGCACTCCTCCCCACTCGCCGTCGTCCTCCCGCGCGGGCCGCGCCCGCCCCGGCCGTCCCGGAGGGCGCGGGGGGCGCGGGCCCCGGCCCCGCGTGACGTGGGCGCCGCGGCGGGAGGGGCCGCCCGGGGGGGCTCCGGCCGCCTTATTAGCGCCCGGCGGGTCGCCGGCAACCAGCAGACCGCCGCTCCGCGAGCAACAGGAGCCGGCTAGCGCCCCACTCCTCCCACCTCCTCCGCCAGCCTCCTCCTCCTCCCCTTCGGCTCCTCCCGCCCCCACCTCTGTGTGAGCGGCGGAGTCGCCCTCTCGCTGCCTCTTTCTCCCGCTCCCGCTCGCTCGTCTCTCTCGCTGATACTTCCCCCTGCTGTGCTCCAGGGGCACCCAAGCATTCTCCGCGCTAACCCTAGGGACCCATGGTGCTCGAAAAGCCTAGGGAGAGCTGCTTCGGGCGCAGATAGTGGAAGCCCCTGGTCCCTTCCCCCTCTCCCGGCGCAGCCCGTGCCCGGCTCGCAGCACCTTCTCCCTCCTGCACACTCTGTTGGGGAGGACGGGGTGAGAAGGTGAAGTGGAAAGAACTGCAGAGCAGAGGGGGCCAGTCTCAGAGCTCAAATTTCATTTTCATTGAAGCAAATCACAGAAGATCAGTTTTTTTTTTATTCTGCATTTTTTCCTTTTTCCTTTTTCCTTTTTCCTTTTTTTTTTTTTTTTTTTTTAAGGAAACTTCTTTTGGGGGGGGTTTGCTCTGGGCATCTGTTTTGCCCAGTAGTTGAGAAGTGAACTCGACTCGTGATGGTTCTCCTGTCACTTTGGTTGATAGCAGCCGCTCTGGTAGAGGTTAGGACTTCAGCTGATGGACAAGTAAGTGGAAAATAATAACAAGAAAAAACTCAAACCCAACCTTTTCCCGAAAAAGTTCCTCCCCTCTTTCCCCTCCTCTCTTTCCTCCTCCCCCCTTCCCCCCTTCCCTGTTATCTTGTGCGTTCAGGAACGGTGTTTGAGGGCTGGTTGCAGCGTGCGGGGCTTTCTGGGGTGGGGGGCTGCACTGCAGGGTGGGGGTTAGGACTCTCCCTCCGGGAGCCCAGGCTTGTCACACCTAGGGCTTCCCCCCCCTCCTTTTGCGGCATTTGTAACCATTCCTGGTGACAAACTGCAGCCAGTTCGCATCCTCGCCGGGCCATCTGGGTTTCCCCTTTCCGGAGGGCGGTCTGGGCGCTTGAATGAAGTTCTGGGCGCTGGGTCCGGGATCCCAGTGCTCCGGCTGCTGCCGCAGGAGTCGGGTTCGCGGGGCTTTCTCTCCTCCTCACTGACTCACAGCTTTTTCGGGCAGCCGGAGGCGGGGGTTTCAGGAAGTCCTTGGGCCGGACAGGGAGCGATCCAGTAGACACGTGTCCTGGGAGGACCGCGGCCGGGCTGGGGTTTGACAGTTGGGGAGGGGGGCTGGGGACGTTTCCTGCCCTGCATTTTCATGGGCAGAGGCTGGAGGCGCCGGCCGCGTTTCTCCCCTCCCCCTCTGCACAACTCCTCCTCTTTTAAAGCTAAGTTGAGTGCGGCTCTGTTTCTTTTCGGCCCAGCCCCCACCCTTTGGAGACTCAAGGTGAAGCCCGATGCGCCTAGAAGAGTCCTTGAGAAGGCTCAGCGGGACGAGCCGAGCCGTTTGTTGTAAATCACATCAGCTCAGGGCCGGTGGGACTTTGGGCACAGAATTTCTCTGTGAGTTTTTGTAGCTTCTCTGCTCTGCCTGGGCTGGCCATAGGTTAAAAAGTAGAAGATTGTCCAGTTGATTCTTGACCTCAAATCTGATCTATCAGGCCCCCCTTTTAGGCTGCTTTTCACACACATTAATGCAGAGACTTTCTTTGCTAATCTTCACCCAGTATCTGAGTTTTAAGAAAAGAATATTGAATGTCAGTATTTATTTTTGCTGGCTTCATAAATATTAAAATGAAAATGGGCAAACAATTCCCTGTAACAAACTGTTATTGAATTGGCTCATTCCCTTGCCCCAAGAACCCACAAACCAAGGTGCAGCCTGTAGGCACCAGTCCCCGGCTCCAGCATCTCCTGATTAGCTCCTGAAAAGCATTAATGGTAGAAATAAAATGCACGAGGTGATAAGATGAAACCCAGTAACTGTTTCTTTTTACTTTCCCCCCTCCTTTCCAGGCTGGTAATGAAGAAATGGTGCAAATAGGTAAGCCTTGTTCTCAGATGCCATTCTTATCTTGGTAGAAAGAAAGGGATGAAATTAGCTAATTAAAATATTGTTTCTGAAATTTCTCCCGTTGGTGGTTAAAAAATAATTTGTCATCCAGGAACATTTCTTTTTTTCTCTTCCCCTTTCTGGAGGGAGGTCCCACTTTTTTCGGGCTGAGTTAAGTGGTATAAAAATTTGCAGTTGGATTTTTCATGTATCAATTTTTTCAGGCATGTCTTTGGACAAGCCACTAGTAGGTACTTGGCAGATGGTGTAGAGGTTGGAAGAAGGCATGGAGATAAGTCAAATCAACTTGGGTAGCATTAGAAAGAGTATATCTGATTAGAACAGAAAGCATGCTACAAAGAAGGGAAAAATGAAAGACAGAATGAAAATTTTTTCTTAAAACTTTTCCTGTTTTGAATAAGCCCTCTGATGACTTATCTTATTCCCCCTACTTCACGATTATCTACTAATGTGTATGATACTGTTAGGAGTTTTACAGATAACATCTAAAATTTCAGAATTACTCCCATTTTATGGGTGAGAAGACTGAGGCTCAGAGAGTATAAGTGACTTGTAACAGGTCAGTCCAAAGTCCGCATGATCTTTTTTCTTTTTCTTTTTGAAGCTGTTCATAGTAATATATTTGTTCTGAATCCAGAGACTGAAGATCATCTGGTCAGAAGACAGGCTCCATTCAAAGTCTTTTTATATACATTTAATTTGGATTACTTTAAAAGATAAATTTTCATCTTGGCAGAATAAGTGTGTCTGTAAGTTCTGCATTTGTCAAGTGATATTGTAAAGTCATCTTCTAGATGGAAAGTTTTGATTACTGCAAACATAGTTATGTGTCATTGCCTATGTGCTGTGTGCCTGGCGGTGTTAATTGCTTTGCACACGTTATGTCATCTAATTCTCACAACCACGCTATGAAGTAGAGACCCACTGTGTCTATTTTAGTTTGAAGAAGATGAAGCTTGAGAGGTTCCGCAGCTACCTGCAGTAGTGCATAGTGCAGAGCCAGGAGGTTTGCCTACTTGTAAATTAATGCAGTGATCCCACGATCCGGGCTATCTGCATAGGTCAGAATGCTCCCATCACGTGCAGTGTTTGGGATTGCTGGAACTCTTCCCCAAGCTTAGACCTCTGTAGTAAGAATAGGACAGAGGGGAGGAGAGTGACTGAGAACTGCATTAAATATATAGCGTCTGTGAAGAGACATTTGTCATTTGTAGCTCATGACATTCAGAGATCAATGTATATCTTTTTAAAGAAGGATTTTAAAAAATTCTCCAAACAAGTAGAAGAGAAAGCTCTCTTCCTTTATTATTGCTTAATCCTTTGATTACTTACACTTCCCAACTTTTCAATATGTAAATTTAAAAGCTGTTTTAAGATTACCCATTCTAGGGGCAGCCTGAGTGGCTCAGTTGGTTGAGCAGCACAGAGCCTGCTTGGGATTCTCTCTCTCCCTCTCTCTCTGTCCTTCCTCTGTCTCTCTCTCTCTCTCTAAATAAATAAACTTAAAATAAGTAAAAAAAAGATTACCCGTCCTCTCAAAGGAATAAAATATACCTCTTTGATTAAATTTTCAGGTAGAATCAGCATGCTCCCCAGTAAGAGGCCCTGAGTTAGATTTTGGTCCAATCCTTTTGTTAATATAAATTACTTTGTTTGCAAGTTTCTACAGAAGATGAAGTGATACAGGTGTGCTTAAATTTGGTAGGAAGAAGATGAGTAACAGTATGGAAGGGGAGAGGGCAGGGGACTCTTGGATTGTGTTTCTGGAGATTTTCTTACTCCCAGGTTCCTCGGCTTTATGGGGATTCTCTCTTTTCTTACTATCATTTTTATTTACCGTTTTCAGGTCAGGTGAAGAGAAGAAATAAAGATAAAAATAGGTTTGACTCATGAGTCTTGTGATAGTAAAGTATAGCTATCATTTGGCTTTGGGTTATGATCATTTATGTAGCTCTTGAAAAGGGTTTAAAAATACATTTAAAAAGCTTGTGTATAGTAATGAGATATCTTTCCCCATGTGTAAAGGGGTTGCTAACCTGAAAGTTTGGTAAAATTCCCTCCTCTACGTATAATTAAGTAATTTTTTTTCAAATAATAAATTTAAAAGCAGTTTTATAAAACTGCTCTTGGATGTGCTATTTGATGAATGGTACAATTAAGAAAGTCTAATAAGGCTTGCAGAGTTAATTAACTTTTTGGTCTCCAAATTGGCTAGAGGAAAGTCCATGGTTCTGAATGATTTCTGCATCATTTAATGTCTCAGGAAAAGATAAATATTCATTAGTGACAAACCATAAATTATTAAGAAGCTCAATTAAAAACCATAGTTTCTGTTGACTTATCATATACATGCAGAATAGGGCATATGAGTGTATCCCTTGCTGATTCTTCGTGGAGGGAAAGGGCCTATGTAACTAGCTTCTGGAACAATAAGTATATAATCAGCAGTATCCCTGCCCCCCACCTCCCATGATAGGTAATCACTTGCTCAACTTCTGACAGGATCGGTTTACTTTGCCAGTTTTTAAATGCTTTTTATAAAGAGTTGCACATTATGTGCTTAAGAAAATGATGAAAATATGTCTAATATGCTTTAGCTCTCTAAAGTAGGAAGGCTTTTATCTAGATAGAGAGAGGGCAGTGTGATGGGGACAGGTTAGAATATGTACAGATATATCATTTAGATAGTGTGTTAATGGGTGATTGTGCTTTCCTTCTCCCTCTACCCAGTGGGAAAATGCCCTCTTTTTAAACATTTTTTAAAATACTTATTTTCGAGAGTGAGAGAGAGCACAAGAGAGTGAGTAGGGGAGGGGCAGAGAGCAGGAGACAGAGGAGTCCAAGAGGGCCCTGTGCTAGAACTCACAAACAGATCATGACCTGAGCCGAAATCCAGAGTCGGCCGCTTAACCAACTGAGACACCCAGGTGCCCCCAAATTTCCTCTTGATATGTGGGAAAGTATGATTCATCCTAGAAAAAATGGTCACATAGGTTTTGAACTCTAACCTACTACTTCTCTGCTTCTTTGTTAACCAGAGAGGAACAATCTACCTATCTACACCCATACATACATATGTATATGTATATGTATATATACATACATACATACACCCACACATACACATACATAGGAATGTGTATGCACTGTGTATATGTGTTAGTGTGTTTCATGAGGTCATTAACATACTTCTGTGGCATATTAGGGAGAGCTTTCATTCTGACTCAGAATATGGCCTTGGTGGGATGCCTGGGGTAATTGTGGGCAGCTGGATGGCTAGCCTGATTGGGTAAGGAGGCTTGCTCTGTGACACATGTGGCTTAGGAAATAATCATAGTTTTGTGGAAATTGGAGAATCTGCAAAATAATTCTCTGAGTCCTTTGTTTCATAAGCTGAAACTTTGATATTGCCTGAGTATCATTAGAGGAAAAATTGTGAGGCTTTGGTGTTGTACTGAGTTCCCATGCTTACCTGCCCCTCTTGGAATCAGGGCATATCTATCTTTCTCTGCCCTATTTCTGTTTCCAAGTTTCAAATTCCATTCCATTTCATTCTTAACAAAATAAAGTTGCTAATCTTGTCCTCTCAAATATCCATTTTACTGAGAAATATTTTTTCATCATTTGCAGGTATTTACTTGGTTTTCAAGGTTTAGTGTGAGTCACTTTACCTAGTCCTTGGCTTATAGTGGGCATTTCTACTAGTGTAGACCTCATGAAAGCCAACAATTTGTCTTGATGATTGCTGTATCCCCAGTATATAAATTGGGCTCAGGACCCCATGGGTCCTCAAATATTTGTTATTCAATGCATAGATCTAGTGAGCAGGGTATTATACTGGGATTCATCTGCATTCTGCATTTTCCTAAATGCACTTCTGTGTCCCTCTCCAGGTTTAATTGGTTCTCAAGAAAATGCTGATGGCATAATAGCTATACAATTAATTATTCAATGTTATCAAAGCTCCTTGTAACTTCTCATTGCACTCCGTAAAGCTCAGGGACCTGGATTTATTGGTTTCTTACACTTTTCTGCTTCTGTTCAGTAAGATTTGGCAAATTGAACTGAATCATGTACAGGTTTGGAACGTCCATAATTTTGCGCTAATGTCTACTTGAGATCATTTGCCTTATTCCGGGCATCAGGGGAAATAAGATAACTAACCTAAGCTTAAAATCTATCAATCCAGTGTGCCCGCAGCAATACTAAAAAGTGTGACTTAAAGGGATTTAAAGGGATCCTTTGTAAAATTTCGAATGGCTACCCATTTAGCCATTGTCCTTTCTTGTAACCAAAGATCTTGCACTGGACTTTATTGATTTAGTTTCCACCCCTCCATTAAGCAGCATAATGGCTACTAGTAAATGCTTTAAGCTTTGTAGATGAAGGTGTTATGAAGTGTAGCTTGTTAATTTAGTACCCACAAATTATTAGTGCTGTTTAGCTGAAATACTTCTTCCCCATACTTTCACTGTTTTTTTCTTGCCATTGTACCAAATAATCATAATATTGCTCAGGAATATTAAGAAATCCCCATAGTCACTTCTGCTTCCAGGATGATTATCTCTTAGCATTCTTTACTTGTGGGGTGCCAACCCAGATCACCTTGGAAATCCATTAGGGACAGTGCCAAATTGCCCGGTAAAATCAAGAGTGATTTCAATATGAAGAGTTTGGTTACGCTACTTGGACTGGGTATTAGTGACAGTGATGACTTCGATGGAACACAAATGCCAGAATTTTGGGAAGCTTCTTTTTCATGTTGCTCCCACAGACATCAGCTTTTACTCCTAAGCTGTTGTTACTTCTGTGATTACAAATTGTTGAATTATTCTTTTTAATTAGTTTTCCTTCTGAATATAGATGTTTTACATGTGCCCATTATAACCGTCTTATTTAATTTTTCTGTAATCCCCAGATTTTTGACAATCATCTTAAATACCAATTTAGCATGTTCTTACCCAGTCATC